GCCTGTATTGACTTGTGTGAGGAGGGAGTGTTGGGGGAGGGGGAAACTCGAAAGGAAATGCGTATGTTTGGTTCCTCCACTTCTTCCACCCTCGACCAGAGCACGAGCCTAAGATCAAATGCATGCAAAACCTCCCTGTGTGGAGAATGCTTGCAAGCATTCTTGCAAGCCAAGTGTGCTTGCACAAACGTGTGTGCTACTATGATCTTACGTGCGTGCAGATATGAATGTGCACTATTGCATATTTGCAAATCGTGATGCCTGCCAAGATAAATGCGTGCACTGTTCTAGTATGTATATGCGTATGTGTGTGCGCTCCACTCCTACTTCTGCTCATCTTGGTGCCCGGCCCCCTTCGTTCTTCAAGCCCCACCCCCCACCCCTCCAGGCTTCGCTTTTACAAAAGGTTTCCCCAGTGCTCGCCGCCGGGGCGCTCTGAGTGAGCCGGACCGCTGCAGAAGCGGCAGTCCCGGCTTTGCGCCCCGCCCAGTCCCTTTCCCCCGCTGGGGATCCCCCTCTTCCCCGCCCACCCTATACCCCCCATGCAGCCCGGCGCCCTATGCTAGCCCTCCCCCTCCCCCCCTCCAGGAGCTGGGCGCCGCTGGGGGAGGAGGGGGAATCGGCTGCGGGTCCTTGGTGTTCCTAGCACCCAGCTTCCCTCCAAGCCGGGTCGCGATGTACGACTGCATGGAAACGTTTGCCCCGGGTCCGAGACGGCTGTACGGGGCTGTCGGGCCCGGGGCCGGCTTGCTGCGTAGAGCCACTGGCAGCTCCTGTTTCGCCGGACTTGAATCTTTTGCCTGGCCGCAACCCGCCAGTCTTCAATGTAGGTACCCGAGCCCGGAGGTGGAGTGTGGGGTGCAGGAGAGGCAGAGGCTCACACTTTCCATGTGTAAAAAGGTGGAACTGGGGTGCAAGCGGAGACTGACTCTATGCGAGGGGCGGGTGTGTAGGAAAGAGAAGTACTGGCCCTTTAAACGTGGGGGCCTCAGCAGACTCCTTTGGGTGTGTGCAGTAGTGTTTTGAGTGTGTGTGGTTTTTATGGTGGGTGTTTAGCTAGGACCTGTGGTTGATGCCACTCCAGATTTCCTGGGGATAGGGATTGACCGAGGTGTGTTGATAGTTTGTGCCCGCAGGTCCGTGGCTCTGGAGGGATATGGCACCCAGGACTGTGGGTAGCGTTTGCAAAGTCCATGTGGAAAGTTGGGAGTGAAAAAATATTTGCAGAGCGTGTGAATCCCCAAAATGTGCAGCGCCTTGCCTAGGCGGTGTGGGTGAAAGAGTCTCACCACGCAGTGTCGCCCACCGACAGCGTTGGCAGGTCCGCATGGCCCTGCGTGGGGATGTTTGTGGCGTGAGGCCGGGAGGGCGTGTGCCCTTGCGTGGCTGCGGGGGCGGCTTTGGAAAGTGCTGTGTTCGAGCGTGCATCCTGTGTGTTCTCGGTGCAGGGTGAAAGGGGTGGTGCACACAACCGGGCGAAGGCTGGGCTCTGGCGCCCCCTCCCCCCTTTTAAAAATAAATGTTTGGAAATGTGCATAGGGTTGTGTGCAGAGAGATGACTTTTTCCTTTGGCTGCAAACACACACAACTTCAGTAGGAAGCGAAAAGTTTAAAGCAAAGACTGCGTGTGTGTTTGGGGGTGGGGGTTGACCTGGAGGTGGCAACGGCCGGGTTGTGGCGGGGGGGAAGTACTACTACTGGGTCCCCAAATACCCATTTTCCTTCTCTGTGAAATGGGAGATGCCAGGCCTGGGGCCCTGGAACCCCCTTCCAGAGCGGTAATAAAAAGCTGGGGACTGAGAGGCAGTAAAAATGAAGTCCAGATGAGAGGCGGCTTTGAAGCCTGGGCCCAAGTGCCTGGCGGGGGTGGGGTGTGGGGAGGAGCCAGGAGGGGAGCCTGGAACCCCCTCCCCCCGATTTTACCGGGGGCTGGGACTGCGCTTGTAGCCGTGTGTGGACGCTGGGGGACCAGGGGTTTGGGGCACGCTGGGAAGGGGCGGGCGACCGGCGCTGGGGGAGTGCGCCCGCGGGGTCACCGAGCCCCCGCCAACGCGCCTCGCTCCTTGGCACTCTGCAGCGCTGTTTACGAGTTCGGCTTTTTTTTTTTTTTTTGTCTTTTGGTTCCAGGGCAGAGCTGCTCAGATTTAACAACCGGGAGACTGGAAGAGGGAGATGGCAAACAGGAGACTGTACTTTGGGGTGGGGAGGGGCAAGAATTAAAAGTGTGGCATTTAAAGGGCGGAGAAAGCATGGAACTATTGCTTTGCACCAAATCCTTGTGAATTCTTAACCTTCCTCGTTGCCCAATAGGATGCGGATTTGGGATTTATTGGAAGGGGTGCTGAAGTGGAGAAAATCTACCAGGAAGAGTTTTTGTGGGGACTGGGCAGGAACCCCAGTTTTTTTGACGCCCACGGAGGCCCCTTGCACTTGGCTGGCAGTGTTTTTGCATTTAAGTTTGGACCGATAATTTTGGTCTCTTGGATCTTGGTGGGCTTCATGCCTGCTCCACACTTTCAGAAAGGCATTTAGACCTGAGTGTTTAAGCCAGGGAAGGAAAGAGGTATTTTGAGGGGAGGGCCCCAAGGTTTGTTTGTGCATGTTTGGCGGCTTCAGTGTTCTGGTGCGGTGTTGGCAGGCCCGGGTGTTTGGTAGCAGAGCTTCTGGCTTGCAAATGTGAAGTGGAGCACTGGGTGTTGTGTGTCCGCCTTATGACTTGTGCATCCACCTCCACAGGGTGGCTGGAGTCAGTGTGCTCTTATGCCACCTGTGTGTTCTGTGCCAGGGTCCAGTTGTGGTATAGGAGCCCATTGGTGATATGCCAGCTTCAGTACCCTGTGTGTTGTTGACGTGTGAGAGTGTGTGTCTCCAAGGTGGTATGTGGCAGATTGTGAGTTTGGGCTTCTCAGCCCTGGGCCTCGCAGCTGGGAGCGTTTACAGCCGGTTATAAAGAGTTTGTTTGAAGCTCCGCTCTGCCTGGCCAGGAATTTCCTCAATTTCAGCAATTTGGGCTTTAAAAGGAGAAAAACCCTGAGCCCACCCCCTCCTCCCCACAGGGGCCCCAGCCTAGCCCAGGAGCAGCCTCCCGATGGTAGGAGCTTGCCCCAAGCTGGGAAGGGGATCTGAGCCACACCGACCCAGTTCACTTTCCTGCGTTCTTTGCCCACTGGGCTGTGCTTTAGGGTTCAGGGGGTGGAAGTGTGCCAGAGGCGTTCCGAGAAGGGTCGACAGTGCCACATAGATGGGAAAAGTTGCCCCTGAGCCTGTCTCCCTGTAGCCCCCAGCCTTATAATTGGCTGGCACTGCCCTATGCCAGTCTGACCACACCCAGGCCCTTTCACAAGAGAGGAAATGAGGCAGCACTCTGTGGCTGGGAGGGTGTCAGCAGTCAGCACTACTCCACACAGTTGTCTGTGGCGGCACCAGTGCCCTTAGAGAACACCAGGAGGGGTCCTGAGAGGCATTCCAACCCATCCCACCTCTCTCAGCCCCAGCCCCTCGTGGAGCCTCCTGCCTCCCAGGCTGAATAGACTCCAAGCACCCTTCAATCCTCCCCTCCTCTCTCTCCTTTTTCACTGGGGATTCTCCCTCCAGCAGGATTCTTATGTTAATTGAGTGTCTCTGTGTTGGGGAGGGGGCAGGTGGAAGGGCTTCCCTCCTGTGGGGTGGGTGGAGCTAGCCCAAACCAGCTTCCTGGGCATTCCTTTTGCCCTTCTGGGGCATGGGGTGGACTTCCGACCAGGTGGGCTGCAGCGGGTTAGAAGAAGGAAGGTGTTCATGAGGTGGGTGCGTGGGATACTCCTTAGGGAGGGTCTTAGGATTTTCTTTCATTGCTTTGGGCAACAGGTCCTGTGGGTTAAATAATTTATAGATTTTTCCAGTCTCTGAACATCCACCACACACCCAAAAAAAGCTTACTTAGCAGGCTGCTGAACAGAGGGTGTTCTCTCCAAACTGTGTGTCGTGGACCGAGACCCCTTTTGAGCTGTGATTGGGTATTTGTGGCGAAGTTTAGGAGTGAAGACATAGGCTCTGGATCCTTCCAGAGATAGTTCCCCTCCCCCATCAGCCCTGTTTACCCAGTGTCACCTGACTTCTCTGGTTTGCTATACTCCCAACAGTTTCTAGACCTGTGAATCTGAGCAAATACCTCAGCCTATCCTTCCCTAACTTCTGTGACTCTTGGCCAGGTCCCTCAGAGCTAGTCAGAAGACTTGGGAACCTCAGCTTGACTGTCAAGTGGCACTGGGGCACTGAACCAGTCACTTCCCTCTGTTGGCCTCAGTTCCTTCAGGTGTAAAATAAAGTTGTTGCATAGCCTTTAACCTACTTTCCTGATACCTGTGTCCCATTTGTTCCTCTGTCTCAGTGGCTTCTGGGGAAAAGGACATTGGCAGTTATTTGGTGGGCAGTATAAGAGGAAAAAGCTCGAGGATTTCTCTACCCTGTACTACATGAAAGGAAACGAAGTCCTATTCTACCTACTGAGTATCCCAGCAGGTCATTTAGCCAGGTGCCAGCTGTAGGTGACTTGTAATTGCCTATCACCCCCAGATCTATTGCCTCATGAAGAGGAGGAGGATGGTGAGAGATAGATTACTTGACAAGGGTCAATTGATGTGACAGGGAGTGTGGGCCATAACCCCTGCACCTATCTACTTTATAGCTGGGGAAACAGAAGCCCAGAGAAGTTACTTCCAGGATGGCCTTGGCCTGGAATTTGGAGAATTGAACAGTGTCATGTAAGCCTCTGGCTGGCATTATTGTGGGGAGAGATGGCCAGACTGTGGGAGGTGCAGAAATAGTGGTTGTTTGGGGTTTTCTGGAAGTGTTTACTATGGCGTTGTACATAGTTATTGGGACTTTAAATCAGTGTGGTGGTGATGGTGTTGTCACTGCTGAGCAGAAGGAAGTGGGAATGGGTATGTGTGCATGATGAGGATACCTGGAGATCTGAGGGGTTCTCTCCCAACCTTCACATCATACTACTTCCTCCCCAGCGGTGGAGACGCAGAGCACTAGCTCTGAGGAGATGGTGCCCAGCTCACCCTCGCCCCCTCCACCTCCTCGGGTCTACAAGCCATGCTTCGTGTGCAATGACAAGTCCTCTGGCTACCACTATGGGGTCAGCTCTTGTGAAGGCTGCAAGGTGTGTATGTGGTGGGGGTGGACTCATTGGACATCTGGAATTACCTGGTGAGATCAGAGACCAGGGACCAGAGCCGAGGGGTGAGACACTGTGTGTGAGTGGGCATCCCTCGGGTGAGAGGGGGCTGCTTTGCACGTAGGTGGTTAATAGACTGGGTCAGGTCTGGGGCAACCTGCAAGGCCTATGAGAGGCTGGAGTTCCCAGCATTCTGCCTGACACTCTCCCCACTCCCAACTCCAGGGCTTCTTCCGACGCAGCATCCAGAAGAACATGGTGTACACATGTCACCGAGATAAAAACTGTATCATCAACAAGGTGACCAGGAACCGCTGCCAATACTGTCGGCTACAGAAGTGCTTTGAAGTGGGCATGTCCAAGGAAGGTAGGCCCCTAGCCCTGGCCTGGGCAGGAGCACTCCTAACCTAGCCTGTGTTTACTACCCTCTTTCTACTTCCATGACTTCTGAGATCTAGCTTGTCCTGGGGTGTTGCCTCCTTCCTAGCCAGTCCTATCTGATTAGTTGAATACACCCAAGAAGCTCTGCCCATTCTCCCCTCTCAAAGCTTAATGAACCCTTGAGTAAGTGGGGGTTACCATCTCACATTCTCCTGTTGTGTGGAGAAGTGAGGGGGCTTGCCAGTCCCCTTCCCTGCTCCCAGGACTGAGCCTGAGGTGGATCTGGGGTGCCCCCCCACGCCATTGTGCTGCCAAGGCTATAAGTGGATATCCTGCCGCCTGCATATCCTGCCCCCCCCACCTCAGCTCCTGCAGGGTGACAGGAAGGGCAGGATGAAGCTGAATGGCCTGGAGAGGGAGCAGGAGCTGTAGGTCCTGGGTGGGGCTGGGGAGAGCCAGCCTGGAAATGGGAGCTAATGTAGGAGATAGGGAAACTGAGGCACTGACTAGGTCCCAGGATGAGTAGATGCTCATGATAAGGATGGAGCACATTAAATTAGAGTGAGAGGGGATCTCTAGAGGGAGGTTCTGAGGGTCCTGACCCTCTCCTTGCACCTCCATCCCCAAGCTGTGCGGAATGACCGGAACAAGAAAAAGAAAGAGGTGAAGGAAGAAGGGTCGCTTGACAGCTATGAGCTGAGCCCCCAGTTAGAAGAGCTCATCACCAAGGTCAGCAAAGCCCATCAGGAGACCTTCCCCTCCCTCTGCCAGCTGGGAAAATACACCACGGTGAGGAGTGGGCAAGTCCTCAGTGAGGGCAGGGGACTGTTCACTTTGGGGAATGGGTAGGGGTTGTGTTGGAGGCCGTGGTCTGGTTCTGAGGACAAGGAGGACATCAGAATGCAGAGGGGAGAGCTTGAGGTATTGGCAGAAAGAAGACAGCTTGCACAGGGCAGGTCTTAGCTTGCATTCTCAACTGCCTTCCCTATAGAACTCCAGTGCAGACCACCGGGTGCAGCTGGATCTGGGACTCTGGGACAAGTTCAGTGAGCTGGCCACCAAGTGCATCATCAAGATTGTGGAGTTTGCCAAGCGGCTTCCAGGCTTTACAGGGCTCAGCATTGCTGACCAGATCACTCTGCTCAAGGCTGCCTGCCTGGACATCCTGGTAAGTTAATAACCCTATGGCCTGCCTTCCGCCACAGCCTGACCCTCATGTGAGACCAAGGAGCTGTTCCACACAAATATTTTATTATATTTTTCTCCCCCCTCATCTGGGACTTCCCAGAACTCCTCTAAACTCCAGCCCTTTTTGTCTTAACCCCTGCTCCTAAGACCAATCCTAGACTTCTGGACGCCCTTCCTCCTTCCTTCTTCTGTCCCCTCCCCAAACTTCAGGTCCTACACGCCCCTCTGCCTTTAGCCCCAGGCCTGCTTCAGGTTGCCCTCCTTTTGGACCTAACCTCCTTACTTTCCATGTGCACCTCATTTCCTCTTTGCCCCACCCTACATTTACTCCTCTCCAGAGACAGCATTAACTTTCCCCTCACCTACCTCTAGATGCTCCGGATCTGCACGAGGTACACTCCAGAGCAGGACACCATGACCTTCTCGGATGGGCTGACCTTGAACCGGACTCAGATGCACAACGCTGGCTTTGGACCCCTCACAGACCTCGTCTTTGCCTTTGCTGGGCAGCTCCTGCCACTGGAGATGGATGATACAGAGACCGGGCTGCTCAGTGCCATCTGCCTCATCTGCGGAGGTGTGAGGGCGCCCTCTGGTGTTTTCTCGGGTTCCTTTCCCACCACACGTCTACCTGATCTGTCACTAAGGTGGAGACCTTTGTCTCTACCCTTGGGATTGTTTTACTTGGCCCATCCACAGACTTCTTACATCCAGTGTAGGTTCCCTGAGCCTGGAACACAGGACAAAAAGGGGCAGAGCCAGGGGGAGCTGGGGAGACCCCAGATACTGGTGCTGAGATAGGGGTCTGGGCAAGAGTGATTTACCAGAGCGAGCCTCTTACTGAAGGGGAGAAGGTACAGAGCCTGGAGCAGGGGAGATGGCCTGGGTGAGGCTCAGGGATAATAGGTGAAAGACTGATGGGACAAAGTTTGAGGCCTGGAGGCCCATAAGGCAGGCCAGTTGGAGATCAGCCACTTGTCACTGTCCTCCCCACCTTTCCTTTCTCCACTGTGCTTGTCCTCATAGACCGCATGGATCTGGAGGAGCCTGAAAAAGTGGACAAGCTGCAGGAGCCACTGCTGGAAGCCCTGAGGCTATATGCCCGGCGGCGGAGGCCCAGCCAGCCCTACATGTTCCCAAGGATGCTCATGAAGATCACCGACCTCCGGGGCATCAGCACCAAGGGTTAGTCATGAGAGAGCCTCCCCTCTCTCCCCAGAGGTGCTGGTCTTCCAGGTCAGTCAGGTGGACAGGTAGAGACAAGAACAGAATGGGTGAGAACCAGGGAGCCTACAGAGGAATCTAGGTGTGCCACATGCTGGTGGGGACACTTTGGGCAAATTCTTTTACATTGTGTGCCTTGTTCTCCTATTTATAAACTGGCTATACCTATACTTAGCTCATAACTTATTGTGAGGTCTAAACAAATTAACACACAGTGGGCTTCGAACTGTGCTGAATAAAAAATGCAGTTCCGCCCTGGCCAGTTTGGCTCAGCGGTTAGAGCGTCAGCCTGCGGTCTGGAGAGACCCGGGTTCGGTTCCCGCTAAGGGCACGTACTTCGGTTGCAGTTTGTCCCTGGCCCTGGTTGGTCGTGCGGGTGGCAGCCACTCGATGTGTCCCTTCATGTCGATGTTTCTCTCTCTCTCTCTCTCTCCTTCCTCTCTCTCCCTCCCACTCTATCTGTACAAAAAATGGAAAAATATCCTCGGGTGAGGATAAAAAAAAAAAAAATGCAGTTCCTCAGTGGCAGTAGCCACATTTCAAGTGTTCAGTAACAGCCACATGTGGCTACACCTACTGTAGTGGATGGGGCAGATATTTCCATTATCGTTGAAAGTTCTATTGGACAGTGTTGGTTTAGAAGGATGCCTGGCAGATAGGTTTGCTAAATAATCAGTATTATTATATGTTATTAAGAACAGGCATAGGGCCCTGGCCAGTTTTGCTCAGTGGTTAGAGCATTGGCCCCTGGACCAGAGAGACCCGGGTTCGGTTCCCGCTAATGGCACATACCTCGGTTGCGGTTTGTCCCCGGCCCCGGTTGGGGTCATGCGGGTGGCAACCAGTTGATGTGTCTCATATTGATGTTTCTCCCTCTCTCTTCCTCCCTCTCTCCCTCCCGCTCTATCTGAAAATAAAAATGCAAAAATGCCCTTGGGTGAGGGTAAAAAAAACAGGCATAAGGCCCTGGCTAGTTTGGCTCAGTGGATGGAGCGTCAGCCCTCGGGGACCACTGAGTCACGGGTTTGATTCTGGTCAAGGGCATGTACCTCGGTTGCAGTTCGTCCCCAGCCCTGGTTGGGGTTGTGCGGGAGGCAACCAGTCAACGCGGCTCTATCACATCGATGTTTCTGTCTCTCTCTCCCTCCTTCCCACTCTATCTGATGATACATAGAAAAGTATCCTCGGGTGAGGAATAAAAAAAAGAAAGAACAGGCATAGGAACAACTGGTGAGCTGTGTATGTCAGAGGGTGGGGTCCTTGGGGAATGGCGCTGGAAGTTGGGCATGGTGTGATCTTTGAGATGACAGCCTGAAAGAATGGGATAAATGGGCAACAGCTTGGTAGAGAAGACAGGTCGAGGCTCCATGCAGAGGAGTGGCCACAGGAACCCTAAATTAGAGAGAGGGTGAGCTGGGACAGAGAAGTGGCAGGCCTGTGCTGGGTGCCTCCAGAGGGGAGTCACTGGACAGTTAAGAAAGGTTAAAGAGGTGGCTTCAAAGGGCATATACCTTTGCCCCCCTGAAACTCTTTGCACCTCCATTACAGGAGCAGAAAGGGCCATTACCCTGAAGATGGAGATTCCAGGCCCAATGCCTCCCCTGATCCGAGAGATGCTGGAGAACCCTGAAATGTTTGAAGACGACTCCTCGCAGACTAGTGCCCACCCCAAGGCCTCCAGCGAGGATGAGGTTCTGGGGGGCCAGGGCAAAGGGGGCCGTAGCCCCCAGCCTGACCAGGGCCCCTGACTTCCCCTGCCATGGGGATTGGGGCTCCAGGCAGCAGACTGACCATCTCCCGGACACCGCCAGTGACTGGGGGAGGACCTGCTCTGCCCTCTCCCCATCCCTTCTAATGAGCTCCTTGTTTTTGCCAAAGTTTCCAGGGGTGCCTCTGTGTTCACCCCCTTCCTGCTCTAAATGGCTCCCTTTCCAGTCTTGGGAGCCTGCCCTGATCCCTCCAGAAGAGAGGGCAGAGGGGTAAGCCTGGGTTAGGACTCTAAAATCTCAGCACTGCCCTCAGACACCAGGGTCCCAGGCTCCCCAGGGCAGGAGGAAGCCCCTGCCATTCCATAGTCCCTTCCTCTGCCAGGTGCTTAGGCCTCTGGGAGCAAACAGGAACACTAGAGACCAAAAGGGGGTATAGGGAGAGGGCTGAGCCCACCCTCTTGCCCCTGCCCTTGGTGCCTAATGCTGCGTATTGCACCTGCTGGGTGCATTCTACCCTCTATGCCCCATCCTTGTGCCAGGTCAGGGTAGGGCAGGCTGGGCCCTGCATTTCTGTGTGGGCCAGAGGGTGAAAGCGACAGATGGAGGCTCATTCTGCACCCCTTTGCTTGGGCCCAGAGTTGACCTTGTGCCCTCTGTTATAAACTCCTCCCCAGCCCTGTCATGTGCCTTGGGCTCCCCCTGCCCTCCATCTCAGCCATGGGGCAGGGACCCTCCTACACTACAGAGGGGCCAGGGGACCCCTCTCTACCTAGTGCCTTCCTCCCTGACCCCCAGAGCAGCTTGGCCCAGGGAGAGGGGGGTGGGTGCTGCTTAGCTGACCCTGCCCTGACCCAGAGGAAGCCTCTATTTATTTATTAGCTTTTGTTTACACCCTGGAATTGACCCCTTCCTCTAGGGGTCTTGGGAGGGGGAGCCCAGGGCCCCTGTATCCCTTCCCTTCTTCCTCCAATCCCCAGTTTGTATTTAGCTGCCAAATAAGATTCCCACTGGCTCCCCTTTTTCTCTGGGGGGTCAGGGTGCTGTCCCCTCCCCTCTGTTTACATCTCCCCTTTACCCCGCTGTATCGCATATTGCTGAGTTTTCTATTTTTACAAAATAAAGTGATGGAAACTCATGGGGTGTGGCTCCCTTGAGAAGGTGTTTGTAGCCCTGGCCGGTTTGGCTCAGTGGTAGAGCATTGGCCCTTGGACCAATGAGTCCCGGGTTCGATTCCAGCCAAGGGCATGTACCTCGGTTGCAGTTCGTCCAGGCCCTGGTCGGGGTCGTGCGGGAGGCAACCAGTCGATGTGTCGATGTTTCTGTCTCTCTCCCCGTCTCTCCCAACTCTCTCTACCTGAAGATAAATGGAAAAATATCCTTGGGTAAGGATTAAAAATAAAATAAAAAGAGAAGGTGTCTGTGGGGGAAAGGACCAGCTGACGTGAAGAGGTATTGGGTGAGGAAGGGGAGCTCCTAATCTACTGGATTGTGTAGCTTTCTTGGGGGAACCAAGGAAATAGGATATAATGTGACAGGATGGGAGGGCAGGGGAAGAAGGGCAGCCCACTGGGCCCACCCTGAGTTTCTGGGCCTCCCACGGCCACCAGTGTGGATTCTTAGTTTGGACCCTATGGACCTCTGAGAAGGCAGGACTGGACCTCAGAGGTGTTTAAGCTGTTCCCACCCACAGTTATATATATGTGTATCTCTGATCTTCTCTGGGGAGGAGGCTCATTGAAGTCATTTGGTGCTCATGAGGCTCTGTGGCCCCAGAAGAAAAGACCCACAGCCTGTATCTAAGTCACAGTGTTTGTTTTATACCGACCCCTCCATGAGCTCTCCAACCCTTTATGACCCTACTCTCATCTTAAGAGTCACTCCCTCTGTCCCTTCTGACCCCACTCTTCGTCTTGTGACCTCTACTCAGCTTCCATGACCCCACTGCTACTTTCTTTCCTAATGTCTCTCTGTGCCCCACTGCCTGTGACCTCTACCACTGTGCCCTGTATTTCCTCAACATCACCTCTCCCCATCCCCGTGGGCCACCTTCTTCCCTGAGACAGAGCCTTGTCAACCTTGTTCCTGGCTTTTTTCACCAGTGACCTGTGCATATGGGAGAGAGTTTGAGGATGTGGGAGTAGGGGAGGAGAGAAGAGTGGGGAAAAGCAGAAGAAGAAAGTGAAAGAAGCTCTGGAGGAAACCACAGAGCCTATAGGGTAGGAGGGGTCACTGCCGTGGTAACCTCTGGTTGTGGGGGAAGGGTAAAAGGGCCCATGGCCTGAGGGCACTCAAAGCCCACCCAGAGAAGTAGCCCCTTCTTCCTAGTTGCTCCTCCCAGCAGCTACCCCCCTATAATCCATCTGCCATTTACTGAGCACCTGCTATGAGATGAGCACTTTGCTAGGTATTGAGACTTCAGTTAGTCCTGCCCCAAAGGAGTGCTCCTTCTGACAGATCTGTGACACAGACCTCATGTCACTTCTTTCTCAAAGCCCCCCCTCCCACCCCGGTTAAGAGTGGGCCAAGGTGAGGACTTATTCCATCGCCCCGTCTTCCTCTAGGCTTCATCCTTGCCCTGGCTCCAGCTGCCATCCCTGCGCTGTGCTTCTAGGTGGCCTCCTCCACCCCTTTCCCAGGCTCCACTACTGTCTTGGCTCCTTGGCCCATTCTCATTCTCTGGCCCTGGCCCTGTGCCTCTCTCCCAACTTCCCAGCTATCTAGACCTTAAATTTCTCTAAGCCTCTCTACTTTTCACCCCATTACTTCTCATTCACTGATTCTCTCATCATGTCCTTCCTATGGGCCAGGTTTTCTTCTCAACAATTGATAGGAATTGTCTCATTTACTTCTCGATAATCCTATGAGTTACACTTGACAGATGAGAAAATAGCCACAGGAAGAGTAAGTAACTTACCTAAGGTCCCACAAGTAGTAAGTGATACAGATCCAGGATTTGAACTTGGGCAGTTTGGCTCCAGAGCCAGTGTAGTTAAGCACCCACTATGATACAGTGGGTACTGAGTTTTTAAAATGAACAATAGCCGGTTCTTTTTCTTCCTCTTCTCTTCTTGCCGCTGCTGTGCCGGCCGCACGCTCTCCGCGCCTCGTAGCCATGCCTCAGAGAATTGAGGAAATCAAGGACATTCTGCCAGGCGGAAGGACGCCAAGTCTGTCAAGATCAAGAAAAATAAGGATAATGTGAAGTTTAAACTCCGGTGCAGCAGATACCTCTATACCTTGGTCATCACGGACAACGAGAAGGCCAAGAAGCTGAAGCAGCCCCTGCCCCCAGGTTTGGCCGTGAAGGAGCTGAAATGAACCAGACACGCTGATCTGTATTAAAATGTTAAAAATTCTAAATAAAAATAAAATAATAAAATGAACAATAGTCACTAATTTCCCCCTCTCTACAGTACTTACTGCCTCCACGTTCCTTCCTTCCTACCATGCTCCTGTATAAGGAAATAGAGAGATCATCAACTTGAGAGGCAATCCCAGACCAGCCAGTTGCTAGCAACGTGACCTTGGGTAGTTTTGTTGCCTCTAAGCCTCAATGTCTACCTTACCTCTAGGCCTCTACATATGTAAACGATGGGACTGGGGAGCTATGAACACCTATGTCATGAGGTTCCTGTGAGGATTAATTTATAACAACATGATACACTCAGAACCTATTAGGTGCTCAATAGATGATCTTCCAGAACTTTGCATCAATAACTCCTTTGCCCCAGCTCCACCCCTATCTGCTCCACTTTCTAGATCAGTCACCCCCACAACCCCCAAGTCTCCCCCACCCTGGGCGTGTCACTTCCTCCTCTGCAGCCTCCCAGATCAGTACACAAAGGCTGCCGCTGCCGCTGGAGGAAAGGCTGCTGCTCGCACCTGTGAGTAAGGGCCCAGCCCTCCGGCCTCTCCTTACTAGTCCAGGCCTCCCCTGGTGCCAGCCTCCTGGGAAGAGGGTTCTGATCTGAAGACATCCAGGATTCAGTTGAAACTTGAGCAAGGTTCTGAACTCCTTTCTGCATTCCTAAGATGCCCTGTCTTGTTCCTTCCTCCACTTTCATGAGCCCTCCTTCTCCCCACCTATCTTTCTTGCATCAGTTTCCCAAGAATGGGGCTGGAGGGAGAAAAGGGAGGTGAGGGAATGTTTGAGTGCTATCATCTGAGTGCCTGCCATGTGACCAAGGATTATGTCAAGGTAGGGTTCTCCCAATATTACTCCCCAGCTGTCATCCCTGTGGCTTAATGAGCTCGAAGTGGGGGGTGGGGAGTAGGAGGGGTGCTCAGCTTAGGCCTCCTCTGTGGCACCTTGGCCACAGGTCTCACACTCCTGGGAGACTAGCCCAGTGGCTCAGTTCTCTTTCCTCCTGGTGACTCCGAGTGGACAGCAGAGGATTCTGCTTGACTTGGGAAGATCTGGATGGATTGGGAAACTGCTGTTTCTCAGCTGTTCAGGGAACAGTAGGATGTATATTGGAGTCAGAATTGAGTCCAGGAAAATGGGACCACCACAGAGGGAGAGAAGGGAGACTAAAGAAGACTCCCTTGCCATGGAAAGAGACAGAAAATTAGGTAGAGTCCATTGGGGCTACTTGAGGAGAGGGCACTGATTTTGGCAATGATGGTGCTTGGGTTGGAGGGAAGGAAAGCAGCAAACCAACCAGGGACGGGGCCTGACCTGTCTCATTCCCTGTTCTGTCTCTAGTGCACTGTGTGACCTTGGGCAAGTCACTTACCACTCTAGGATTCAGGTTTCCATTTGTAGAAAGGGGGGGTGGAAGTAAAAGGTTCTGACATCCTATGGTTAGGATCAGAGAGAAAAAGCAGCAAAACAAAGAACTGTGAAGAAGAGAAAAGCAGCAGAAATATAATCAAATTTTTGAATAGAGCCCAGCTCGTGTGGCTCAGCGGTTGAGTGTTGACCCATGCACCAAGGGGTCGCTGGTTTGATTCCTGGTCAGGGCACATGCCTGCGTTGCAAGCTCTATCCCCGGTGGGGGATGTGCAGGAGGCAGCCAATCGATGTTGATGCTTCTTTCTCTTATCAATGTTTCTATTTCTCTCTCCCTCTCCCTTCTTCTCTCTCTAAAAATCAATTCAAGACATTAAAAATTTTTTTTTAATAGGAAGAGGAGAGCAAGGCAGATTAAGAGAATTGGCGGGTCATGTATCCATAAGGAGGGGAAAACATAGGGGAGGGGGAATTTGAAGGGCACTGGGGTGGGCTGTCCAGGGCACTGGGGTGAGTTTGTCCTATCTGGGGAACCAGTGTGCTATGGGGGCCCCACCTAGGAGAGATGAGTCAAATGTGGGCTTTGTGCTGCAGCATCTCCAGCCTCCCCAACCACAGGCGTGCAGAACAGCAAGGCTGAGGTTACACTGAGGCTGAGCGCTGGGCTGGCCTCTCACAGGAGGGTGGAGCCTCTGTTACATATATAGTCTATGCCTGAGGTCACAGGTGGTGGGGAGCAGGACAGGGTGGTCAACGACTTGGCACCCAGCCCTTCCCCACACTCCATGCAGAGCATCAGGATTTGAGTCTAGGTCCAGGCTGAGGAGGAGGCAGATGCTTCATGATAGTTAGCTGGTCTTTCTCACAGACCACTGATGGGGATGTAAACCAGTACAGTCTCTGAGAAGGTTACCTAGGCAGTACTCAGCAATATTACAAATGATACCTATTTATTGACCTTACAAATCCTCTTCCAGGGATTTATTCTACAGATTCACTTGCACACATGTGAAATGATAAATATATGAATTTTACTGCAGCATTATTTATAATAGTTAACAATTAGAAACAATTTAAATCCCCATCATAAGAGACTAACTACAATGTAATAATATATCCATGTAATGAACACAATAGGACTGTAAAAATGAACAAGGAAGTTCTTTATTTTCTTGAGTAGTAGGATCTCTAAGAACAGTAGTTAAAAAAAAAAAAAAAAAAAGATGGGCCTTGACCAGTTTTGCCCAGTGGTTAGAGTGTTGGCCTGCGGTCCAGAGAGACCCAGGTTCGGTTCCCGCTAAGGGCATGTACCTCTGTTGCAGTTTGTCCCCAATGTGTCCCTTTCACGTCAATGTTTCTCTCTCTTCCTCCCTCCAACTCTATCTGAACAAAATATGGAAAAA